TAGACTCATGATATTACCACTTCATTCAAGAGCCGACGTCCCCTAGCTCCACTTCACATTACTTCAATTGGCCTCTTATTGGTTAAACTCTTTGTGGGTAGCCCTTTTCGTCACACTGGACTCAATGAAAGCGTTAATGTCATGAGCATAAATCTAAAGGTACAATCCATCAGAAAAAAATAGCTTCCTAGAGACGAGAGCTCTTCATGACATGAGTACAAGTCTAAAAGGAGAGTTCAACCCAAAAGATTAGCTTATTAGGAGGAATAGCCCTTAAAGCTTATTCCCATGACATATATTTCTTTTATAATTTTAAATTCCCTCTGCATTTTAGTTAATTATCAGAAATTTTAGTCACTTCTAAACCTCTTGTTCTCTTCATGTTTCAACTATTAATGTCTCTATAACCCCTATATTTTTTCTTACTTTTTGTTCCCATATTTCATTGGTTGACAAATTAAAATAAATTTATCACTTCTAATTTTTTATTTTCATTTGAATCTGAACTTATCTCTTCTCCTCATTTAAATTTTTTTAAATTACCATAATAAAAAATTTTAAATATGTGAAATTTAAATGTGAGATTTGCAATGTAACATTTTAAATCTAAAATTCAAACCTATCAATTCAAACGCTACCTTTGGAAAATCCATAGATATTTTATTAATTAAATAATGTTGAAAAATTATTAAAAATTCTTCCAAGTTTCAAATCCTCAACCTTCTAGATTAGACGATTTATAACAAATTTGAAACAAAAATATAGATATTTAATTTGAAAGCATTAATATGCATGCGGACTAACATATTTAGCATTCAACTAAAGAAGTGAACAATTTTTTATCCTTATTTAATATATACGTATCTTTTCCTTAACAAGGAATTAACTTTAATTATCCGATAACAACGGATTAAATTTCAGACCAACTTTGAGCCCTATATATTCATCTATTTACACCCACACAAAAACAAAGGTAAAAGGGTTTAATTCTATCTAAGACAGAGGAAGGTTAACAACGGTCACCATCTCATGTTAGTCCCCAAATGGGGTTTGTTTGATTAGTTTTTGTAATCCTTTAAGTAAAGGAATGTTTTGTAATCATTTTTCTTTTTCAATTGAAGGTTTTCATTCACATTATTGTCCTCTTTGATTTTTTAACAAAGATGAGAGATTCTTCGCGATTGCCAAGATGAGTTTATCAGAAACAAAATCTCCTCTCTCGATCTGCTTATCGTCTGTGAAAGTTATGATGCCTCGTTGCTTTAAAGCAGCATGCATGTAAGTGGTCTGTGAAGCCTTTTCGAGTGTCTATTCCCCTGAAGCTGAACAAGACATGGTACTTCCATTGTGGGATTGTTGAGCTCATTGAAAATTGTGTGGGTTTGATTGGGAAAATGAAGTTGTGGAATAATTATTTAGAGGGAGCTTCAGGTTTTGTCTTTGGTCTTATTTATGGGTCGTCTCGTAAAATACGGGATTATTTGTTTTGATCTTTCATATGGATAAGGACGTGCTTGTGTGGACGCTATTCATTCATGTTCTTATTCTTTGTTAAAAAGATTTAAATATAATGAGTGAATTAAATCTACTTATTCAATGAGTGTCTCATGTGACAAGACATATATATATATATATATATATATATAATAACCATAACCATTTGATTTGGTTAAACAACTGTAAAAGATTTTGTGATATAATATTCAGAAAATATGAAATAATCTCAAGATTTTTTGAAAGGACAACATATATGAGAAGTGTTTTGAATTTTTTAAGGGCAATGTATCTTAATAATATTCAATTATTGATTAAATATAATGATTATAATTAAGATACTCATTGACTGTGTAGATTTAGGTTACTGACCAAATCCAAATCCTCGAAAAACTGATACTTAGGTTTCAAAAGTTGAAGCAAAGGCAAGTTGAAACCAATTACAGGGCCAACTTCTCCCATACGTTACTCTAATCATAAGATGAGGGCAAGACTTACTACTGCTGACTAATAGCAAGTCTGATAAAACTTGATTGAGTACTATAGCTGTATCAGTCTCGCCATCATGTGACGACTAGAGTCACATGTTAGAAAAGTGACCATGTAATTAGCTTCAAATTGCCTTTGCTTTATCAGGAGCAACCGGCGGGAAAATAAATAGACAAAAGAATAAAACCATACCATATTTTAACTTCAAATCTCAAAATTTAAGGTTATAGATTCTTTCATTTTATTTTGTATTAGTTATTAAATTTAACTTTATTTGAAGTAGTATTTCCCATATCGATTCAAATCCACCCACACTTGACATCTTAACATATTTTCTGACTTTTAGGTTTACTTCATTACTATTACTATTTTTTCTGTAAATTCAATTCAATTCTTAAAGTTCTCTACATTTCCTTAAAGGAGACCAATAAAGAATTTTTAAATTCCAAACAATACTAATTGTTTAGTTTCTCATCCATGAATAAGTAAAAAATTACATAATGCTTTTAAAAAATAAACATCATTTAAAAAGGGGAAAATACAGTTGTTGGTTCCTTTACTTTTAACGTATTTCGATATATCCAAGCTTTACTTTTTTTTTTTTGTTACTTCAAGTTTCTTAAGTTTCATATGTTTGTAATATTTATACTTTTGAATAAGTAAAGGTAAAAGAAAAACCAGCAGAACATTAATTAAAATTCTTAGACACCTAATGAATGAAACTTTAGATAGAAAAAGACATGACAACTTAGGCGAACAGTTAATGGTCGTTTTGCCCCATTGTCCAACTCTATCATATTTACTAATTCAGCGACAAGATTAACAAAGTTATGCAAATTAGAAAATATAACCCAATGAGTGACGATACGAACTAACGTTGTAGACAGATAAGAGACTTGGAGCAACAAAAAATAATAGAGACTAATACAAAAACACATTAAAAGTATAGAAAACACATTAAAATTTTGGAGAATATCATATTTTAGTTATAGAAATAAATAATTTTAATTATAAAAATACATTTTATATAACTATTTAAAATATTCCTTACTCATTATCAAAGATTTGCTTATTCACAAAACGTGTGTGGGATTATTAGTTTTCATTTCCCAATCTCAGCGAAAATCCTTTTGACGTGGAATGGGTAGGGAGAGAGAGAGAGAGAGAGAGAGAGAGAGAGAGAGGAGGAAGAGAAAGGGGGGAGAGAGAGAGGAGGCCAAAAAAATAAGAATTTTTTTTATTAAATTATGAAAAATATTCTGCATTACAAGACTGGGTCAAGCTGGACTAATGACTGCACTACCTATTTAGTGCATGTTTGGTTTGCCTCCTAACTGAGGTTGGGATGACTCAAACCTTAGTTAGGGGCCTAAAGCTCATTTAGAAAATCTGACATCTTGTTTGGTTTTGGAAAGAAAAAAAAAGAAAAAAAAGTTAAGCGAGCGTTCCTCCAAAATGAGCAGAATAGCTGAGGCCATATGAAAGAGCTTTTGGATGAGCATTTGAGCATTAAAAATTATCATCAGATTCTCTCTCCTTCTATCCTCTCACCTCACCTCTCCTGCTGATAGCTTGCTCGTCTCTTCTTCTTTCCTCTATCTTCACTTCACCAATCGTTGCCTCCAGCATCCTCTTGCCGTCATCTTTGACTGTGTCTGTGCTCGGTGTTGTCGTCATCGAGGTTTTCATCAAGGCCACCGTCACCGTATGGAGGTCCATTGTCGATGGTTCCGTCAAGTTGATTTTCTTATTCTTGTGTTGTCTGTGTAGCTCATTCTCAGGATAAGCTATCTGCTCTGCCATCAGATGGCCAAGGATTTGGAGTGTCTATTGATGAAGAAATTGCAAAAGCCATTGTTGCTTGGGCTTACCTTCCTGAAGGAAACCCTTCAAAACTTTTCCTATAAAATTTATTTTACTTTTCGTGGCTTGCAACAAATATTTGGTTTTTATACATTTATTAATTTTTTTTTGACGATTTAGATTAATTTGAATGCCCAGTTTATAGTTACACATTTTTTTAAAAAAATAAAATATAAATTTTTATTATCCCCGATAGAATTAAGTGAAAATTTATGAATTTATTTTATTCTTTTAGAATTGAATATTTTGTAATTAATGGTTTATTTTATCTTTTCATTGAATAATTTGAATTTTATTTTCACTCTTCCTTTATAAAAATTAATATTTTTTATTTATCAATGTATTTTATATTTTTAATCTATTTTTTAGAAATTATAATTTTGAGTTTAATATTTTTTCCTTAAAAATATCAAATGAGCCACAAAAATATATATAAAAAAATTTATATCCATCTTTTCCATGCATCAACTGAATTTTTGATCAAATTATTCAAACAAATATTAATTTGTTCAACTGGCTTATAGAAAAAATATATTTAAACATAATCACATTAAAGTTATGTACTTTTAAAAAAAAAAACTTAAGTTTGCTAACCTTAGTTGATTCTAAGTTTGGTTGCAAATTTTAATCCAAACACATCTTTATACAGCCCATGAAGACCAGCAACCAAAAAAAAAAACCAACAAAAAATGAAGTAAAGAGAAAAAAATACATACAAGACTGTACCAAAAACATAAATAAATACAATAGTCCTGAAAACATATGGCCCAATGCAAATGCAAAACACACATGACAAGTCCAATTCATCTTATAGTTTCTTCAACTTATTTTACTTAGGACAATCTCCTTCAATGCTTTCATGATTCAGCTTGAAATTCTTCAACCTTGCACCCTAAGACACAAGAAGGTTGAAGAATTGAAAATGGAGTTACTAGACACTTAAATGCTCTAGTAGCAAGCAAATAAAATCTATTTTCCATTACATCAATTTAACTTCCTTCCATTTCCCCAATTCTTAGTGCCCAAAAGTCTCAAACACATTTAACTAAAATTATTTATGTATGGACCAGCGTGTGTCTGACATCAATAAAAAAATTCAAAAAATGAGAAGAAATTAAATATAGGGATGATGGTGAGTTACCTATGAAAAGAAATTAGAGTTTTCTTCGTTTAGCAGAAAATGTTTCTGCTTCGTCTGTGGCCACAATGTTGTCTTCTTCTGCCACTTCTTCAACTTGGTGGGATCTCTTTCCATAAGCATAAAGAGAGTGTTGAGAAGGGATTTCACTGTTATTACTTGTGCTGTATTCCTTCATTGATCTACAACACTCTTCAACATCTTCTTGCTTATCACATGCCAACCACACTTGCTTATCACAAACATGCTTGAATTTTGCAAATCAACTTTCCCTTTCCATTGTGCTTCCATGTGTAAGCACTTATATTTTTGCATATAAAATATGAATTCGATCTAGTCACTATAGATTGTGAAATCACAACTAGGAAAGTAAATCATCAACATTTGATGGGGATTGTTTCTCATAGCAATTTTCCAAGTTATTATACCTTTGAACAGTTCATATTGTGAAGCTTTGTAAGCCAACTTTAGTCGTCGTCGATTTACTAGATGATGGAAGGTCCATATCTTGTAGAACAATGCAAAGAGAAATTCCCCACCTTGCAGATGAGCCATGAAGATGAGAGATGTCCACTTTTATTAACATAATGGAATCAGACGGTTCAAAACAATCAATCAAAATGTCATGATCCTGATCATAGCCTTGACATAAGATTTTTCTCTCAGAAGTGTGAACAACATGATTATCTTAAAAGCCATCAACTTTATCAAGAAATTATAATTTTTGTTGATTATGGAACCAAGATGGGATGTCAAGCTTCAGCATCCACCAAGATTTAAGAGCCATATTTGAAATCCATGATGGAAAATATTCCAGAAAATCCTTAGCAGGTGTAATGAAATTTGATAGAAACTCTGAGAAAGATAATGGTTGCATTGAATGACAAGCAATTGTACCTATATGCTTAAGGTTTGGTGGAAGATCTGGCAAATATTTGAGCTTTGGGCAATTGTTCAAATGAAGACAAGACAAAAGTGATAGATTAACAACACATTGAGCAGGAAGATGGGTAAATTATTTCCAATCAGATCAAGTATCTCCAATGATGATAAGAAACTAAGATCCTTAGGAATTGACCCATCATGGATATTGCATTGAGCTAATTTCAAAAACTTCAATGAGGAAAGACTTGAGAATGAAGAAGGAAGAATGCAACTGCCATCAGGCAAGTTGCCAAAATAATTTCTACTCAAATCAAGGACCTCTAATGAAGGTAAGCAACCAAGAGAATTTGGAATTTTTTTGAGATTGCAATCACTTGTATTCAATTTCTTCAATGATGCTAGGCTTGAGATTAAAGAAGGAAACGCCAATCTAGTTAGAGCTTCATGAATAAGAAACCCAAATACTATTGGAATTTGGGAAAGCAAGTTCCCCAGTGAATTGGAAGTTGAACCTAGACCATTACATCCTTTCAAATATAGTGACTTCAAATTTTCTAGGCCAATGATTGATGAAGATACTTCTTTCATAGCAGTTCCACTCAAATAAAGCTCCTCTAAACACTTATTTTCATAAATATTTTGTACTAATGAGGAAAATTTTGGACCACCTAAAATATTGAGAATTTTTAGGGAATTCAAATTACAAGTGGAGCTTCGAAGACAAGCAAGGTTTTGGCAATTTTTCACATCAAAAACCGATGAGCTATTCATACTTTTTCCAAACTTTAGAAGCTTTTTAAATTTTAAGCACCTAGAAAGGGTCAATTTCTCTAAGGAATCCATTTCCATTCTACTAGGAAGCACTTTAAGATTCTTGCAATCTTTCAGGTCCACTACAATAAGTTTTTTTATGTTGTCCAAGTGGTAGGTGAACTTCAGTAAGTTTTATGCAACATTAAAGAACTAGTAGTTCAAGATTAGGAAGCATTAAAAAATTAGGAGTTCTTATGAATTCTTAAGAGTATCTCAAATCAATGCATTTCAAAAGTGTATTATCTTGCTACAGTGCATTTTTAGGAGAAGTTGATACAAATGAACTCCATGTGGAAGAGATTGCAAATGATATGCTTCCCATTCAAGAATTTTCAATGAACTAGGAAGACATGTGAGACCTTGAGGAAGGCAAACATTACATGAGATGATCAGTATTCTGATAATGCACATGCTAGAAAATGCTTCAGAATCTCAATTTGCTTCATATGGTACAAAGGACTAAAGATGTATAACTTCTATCATATCAGATCCCTAGGAAAAAAATCAACAACATAATGAAGGATGAGAAATAATATTGATCAATGTATATATAGGAAATTTAATGCATCTCTATAACAAATCGTATAGTTACCCTGTTTTTAGTCAATACATGATCTATATCTTCTTTTGACCATATCCTGCTTCTTTTGTCAGCAATACTTGGTGATTCCTCCAAAACAATACTTCTACCCATTTCTTGAAGGATGTCTTGCATACCCAAACACATACCACAATCGATAGAATAATATTCAGTTATCATGCATTTCTCAACAAGTTCTCTTATTCCAAGTACTGGACAAAAACCACACATTTCAAATATTTGTGTCACTTAATATTTGTTCATTCCCTAAAAAAAAAAAATGCAAGATCTAAAAATATTTTCTTTTCCATATCACTTAATATTGCTTGGCGCAAACCTTTGAATTTTCTCCAAAGCTTCTTTCCATTCAAGTTAACTTCTTCCACAAAGATAAGAACGCAACACTTCAAGAGTTAAAAGAAGGCCTTGAGTATGGTGGATGAGCTCTTACACAGCTTCCAGTAAACTTCCATATGTTCATCCCTTTTAAAAGCCCTCTTGCATAACGCTGCTCTTATGACCTAGCCAAACTTTCTTTATAGAAAGGTTCTCTAGTTGGTTTATTTCACTTACATCATCCAAGACAACAAGAACTTTTTTGCTGCATAAAAAATTCCTTGTGATATTCTTCCCTTCATATGCATCATCAATATCTATGTCTCTTATCATGAGTTTGGAAAGAAGTTTTCTTTGCAACGAAACGAATCCCTTGGCTTCATGGTTTTCTTTTACATTAGCAAGAAAACAACTAACATCAAATTGATGAAATATTCTCTCATAGATAACTCTTGCAAGAGTTGTCTTTCCAATACCTGTCATGCCCCATATTCCTATGAAGCCAACATCACATAATCCAATATTTAGAAGTGCACTCACTTCTTCTACTCTTGTTTCAATGCCAATGAACTCATTGTTGAAACAATATGGTAACTTTGGCTGTACCTTTGCCCATGCTGCTGCGATAATTTCTTCAATGAGTTTTGCTTCATGCCTGCATGGAGAAAAGATAATCAGCAATTATTTAGTACTCCATTTGGAAAAAAATATAGGAGCTATTTAATTAATTTATCAAGATTAAGAAAATTAGTTTAGTTAATTACTTGTATAAAAGGTGTGTTGATATCCCTAAAATACCCCCTTTAATCATTGGTATTTGAAACTATCCCATCAATTAATAGAAATCGTCCTTCAATATGTGGAGTCAATAGGAATAGTTTGGAAAAAAAAATTATAAATTTGGAAGACAACGTGAATTGAGGTCTTACATTTAGCATCAAGACAAACCCCTCAACTAATTTCTACATTTAGGATTCGAAACTACAACCAGCTATTTACTATTAGGTTAGATTCAAGTTGGTGATCGAGACAAAAATCATTAAGTTGAAAATATGCAAAATATATATATATATATATATATGATTTTTAACTTAAGAAGGCAGGAAAAATTAATTGATGGCAGAGTTCTAGAGTCGCGTCGCATCAAGAACATCTCTAGAAGAACACTCAAGTGAAAAGAAGTAACACGCGCGCGCACACGTGATGAAATATCCAAGGCATTGGTTTTTATAGCATACCTTTATCCCTCGATCCAAAGCTTCAATCGTGTAGTAAGGTATATGAATACATTGTGGGCGCGCGTACATGCGCGCGCGCGACACATGCTTTTTTTTTTTTTAAGTTTTTTTTTTGTGAATAATATTTATTTAGAGATATTATTTTTTGGTTGAGTGTTATCATGAACTATATTATTTTTATGATCTTTATGAACATTTCTTATTATTACAATTTTTTTAATCTCTTTCAAAATTTGTTTTTAATTAACTCAGTATTATATGAAAAAGTTGACAATGGTTAATCATATGTAATTTTTTAAAAATTACTTTTGATTCTAATATTAGTTCTATAAAGAGTATATTTTAAATGATAATAATTAATTTTTAAAAAATATTTTTTATTGATCATTTTAGCCAAACCTGACCCAAACACTCAGGCATCAGGCTGGCTTGAACTTCACATCGGCCAGGGCATGAAGCATGGGTAATGCCTGGTCCGACCCTGTCTATGCGCAGCTTTATATGGGTGTATGAGCGTGTGCATATATATATATATATATTATGTGTATGTGAAATCTGTATATGTAAAGCCGTGCTCTTACTATCAAAAGAACTCATTTTGAAAATATATGCTCTATATATTTGTCTTCCATTTTTATTTTTATTTTTTTTATGGTTTGCTTAAAGAAAGAAAAGGTTAAAAATGAAGCTGTAATGAGAGATTAAGGACCTCTTGTTGGATTTATAATGTTTTTGGCGCCCATTGATGGACTGACCATATATTCCTCCCTGGCTAAATTCATGCAATTAATAAAAATGAGAAAATCACTTAGCTAATTCATTAAAAATTGTAATATCTAATTTTGAAATTTAAGCTTTAAATTAAAATTATTCCAACAATAACATTACTTGTAACCAGTACACACTACAAGAAAACATGAGATTTCGGAAAGAAATTTGTGATGAAATATAAAAAGTCACCAATACGTTTTAAAATCATTCCAAATTCCATTTCAAATATGTGTCCCATCACAACTCATGTATTGCAAATATCTACATTTAGTATACAAAACTTACTGATCCGTAGAGTCATAGCCAGATATATTTACAACTTCTTTTAAGGCCTCTCTCCATCTTTGCACCTTCTCTTTGTTTTCAGAAAATCTCTGACTATGTTTCTGAAAGGCACAAGCAAAGGTACCTCTCTGATGATGCACATCGGATGGATCAGTCTTATAGAAGATTGGGATAACTTCTCTACCCAGAGATTTTTTAGATTCAAGAATCCTTTAGAGTTCATCCAAATACCAACTCGAAGAAGCATAAGTTTCAGAAAGAATAACAAGAGACATGAGAGATTCATCAATTCCTTGGAAGAGTTGGTTAGAAATAACCTCTCCTCTCGAGCTTATGATCATCTATGAAAGTTATGACACCCCTTTGTTTTAGAGCAGCGTGCAAGTGGTCTGTGAAGCCTTTTCGGGTGTCTTCTCCTCTGTACTTCCGATTGTCAAGTTCATAGGGAAGATGAGAGAGAGACAGACAGATTTAGAAATAGCAGGATCTATTGAAAGGTTTAATTTATTGATTAGTCACAAACATGTTTTTACTTGAAACTGATCTAATCATTTTGCGATGTCTCGATCGATCAAAAATCAGTGCCAAATTACTTTTTATTTTAATTAAGTAAAATAAGAACAAGTTGATATAAAATATTGATGATGATAATGATGGAAAATAAGAACATGTTTATTTTGTTTTAATCAAATCCTTATAGTCTGATCTATTATATATGTTAATAGATTAAAATTTCTTCATTTTACCTATAAAAGGCTTTAAAAAATAGAAAAAAACAAAAGTAATTCTAAAATGTTTCTGTTTAAAAAAAACTAAAAAAATGTAAAAAGTTCTGAAAGCATGTAACTATAAAATACTTATACAAACAATTTTTTTGGTCTTCAAAAAACATAAAATAATTTTTAAATACAGATCAATCAAACAACCCCATAATATACACATTTCTCATTTCTTTTTTAAAAATAGATTTTCGTGTACCAAACATGCATGTAGTACATTTATCTGCGATGCATGTAATTAAGGCTCCTATTATTGTTGGATAGGATTGATGTAGAACAAGTTGTATGGTCTTATATTATTGATGTGAGTAACCTAGCAAATAAAGGATTTGGAATTTGCGAGGATAAGATCTGTAGGGCTTTTAGGGTAAGAAAATGGAGCAATAAGTATGGCCAGTAACCACATGGGAAGCTACAAAAATGAAGAAATGTTTATGAGAAGGAAGAGGAATGTCGTTGTACGTGAGAGTTTTGTTCGGCAAGCGCTGTGTGTGGGTCCATGTCAAAGAAGACAATCGTCTCAATCGATCTTGTTTCCTAACGCAGCTCATGGGCTACATCGCTTTCTTATCTTTCTCTCAGACCTACTCGTTGATTTTCATTCTTCTTAACGCTCATTTTGTCAACAAATGAATCTTTATGTAAAATAAAAACAAGTTGATATAAAACAACAACAGCATCGGCGGCAGCAGCAGTGATAGTAATCGAAAATTAATTAGCAGGTCCGCATAGTTCTTCTTAACGTTATATTAGGCTCCCATAGTTGATTTTGTTTTAACTGAATCTTTATGGTTTGTTCGGTCAAATATGTTAATTCCAAGACGTTACAATTCCTCAATTTTGCCTTTAAAAATTGAAGTTAAACATTTTTATTTTTATTAAAATTATATATAATTTTAGAATTAACAACATTTATAATTCAAGATTAATTTACACATAAAGAAGCATGTTTAAAAATGTAGATTTTTAAATTCTGTAATGATGTCCTTTCAAAACAATTGCAGGAAAAAAAAAACTAAAATTAAAAATTAAAAATAAATTAACTTAGATGAATTAATTTTACCCGATAATAATAATAGAGGGAGAATTTTAGTAAATGGCTACGGTAGCCTGTTAAATTAAAGGGCAATGGTGCAAAAATATCCACAAACTTGTTGGCTAGAAGTATCCGGTATCTTAAAGTGAGGCAATGTGCCTAATTGCTCATGAAATTATTTTAGTCGGCGCATATGTGATCAAATCATTAAATACCAAAGATGTTGACTTTTTTGTTGTCCTCCTGGGAAAATGTTGACCAATTTGAACTGACGTGGAGTACACGTGTCTCCCTTCTTTATCCTTCTCACTCTTTTTGAAACGCAATCTGCCTTCCTTTCCCATCCAATCCCTCCATTTTTGTGCCTTCCTCGTCCCCAATTTCAAATCCACAAATTAAAAAAAAAAAAAAAGTTTAGATCCACAGCCACAATTAACATTCCCAACAAATGAAAATTCATATCCACATTGCAAAACAAGTAAACAAATCAAAATAAAAAATTAAAAGCCACAATTAACATGAATGAGCATAGAATGAGGTGGAAAGAGGTGGCAACGTGGTAAATGAATAAAAGCCACCTGGCATGAATTGCAAGGCAAATTAACGGATGTCAATTAAATTTTAAAGATTGGTCACTCTTACACTAACTTAAATAACGTTATAAACACTTGTGCACCTTTCCTTACTTTAGATACTAGATGTTCCTGACAGATAACGTTATAAATATTTTTACCTTTTTTTCTTCATATTATTATCAACAAATGGAATGTGATGGCATAATTTTGTATATGGGCAATATTTATGTTATGCTTTATAAAGATATATCAAGAGAAAAATATCACTTTTAAGCCTTACAATAATTCAATAAATGACAGTTCAAAATAATTTTCAGTGAAAAATATAGAAATTTTAGTCAATCTGTGAAACTAAAAACTATCTTATCCAAGAAGACATCAAAAGGGCTTTCGAAAGTACAATTTGGCCATTTTAAAAAAGGAAAAGAGGAGAAAGTAATAAGACACAAGTTAGACATAAAAGAAATATGATAGAAGCCTGATGCAAAAATTAACTAAAGCAATCAAAAGAGTTTTTCTTTTGAAACAAAATGTGAGCCAAAAAAAAAAAAAGATGAAGAGGAAAAAATAATAGGGAAAAATAAACGATAATATATATATATATGAGCATACTTATCATGTTGAAATGAAATACTAAACAATATAAAAAAGCATATGTCAATTCAATAATTAATTTATTAAGTTTAGTGAGTTGTAACTTCTTATGTGTTGTGTTACGTGTGAGGGTGTGGTTATTAATTGAGTTATGATATGTTCAAGTAGAACAATCATAACACATGTACTAAAATAATATATAAAGTAACTTGCTTCAACTAATCAAGGGGTTGAATTCATTTATCCTAATGTCTCGAGTTTAAATCTTGAGATTTGAATGGTGGCATCATGTTTCTTAGAATACTGGATGATGCATATGCATGAAATAAAATAATAATAATAGATAAAGTTATTAATCTTTGGAGTCGAAGCAGGATATATTTGCCAACTTTTTGGAAGGCATCTTTGTAATAACCCAAAAATATATATAATAAATAATATTATTAAAATTAATAATAACATTCCGATTGTATTTTATAAATTTAGGAGTAGATGTAACAAGGTGAAATGGTGGCATAACGGAAATTATACTTATCTACTAATAAGTTGAGAGTTAAAATCCTTATTGTGCTAAGGGAGGAATATTATTTTATTTTGATATTAATATTAGGTAATTACTAAAATGCCTCTTAACAATAAAACTAAATAAATAATACATGTCAGATTTTTCCCATCTCTATTTTCACGACTGGGAACCATAAGAGAGTGAGAAAACCGATTCAGAAAAATCTGGACCCTCTTCCTTTCCTCCTCCCCTTTTCTCAATTCTTCTTCAACGACTGAGAGAGAGAGCTCGACCTCTTCCCTTCTTCATTCCTTCGCCATTGAGTCTGTTGTTAGCAGCCATGGATGTGCCGAAATCTTCCACGTTTTCTCTCTGCTCGTGCTGCTATTGTGGGTGCATCAACTTCTTCCTTCTCCTCTTCCGTTTTTGTGTGGCAAGACCTTCTCCTCCCCTGTTTAACACCGTCCTTGATCATATCTGCTCAAGGGGGCTTTCATTTCTTGTTCTTCATTTTTCTTTTGCTGTGTGGAATGTGGTTTTCCGCCGTCGTCCTTCTACTGTTCTTTGACTGTGGTAGCAGGTCGAAGACCCTTCCTTCCTTCCTCACCCTCGTCAATTGTGTTTGTTAGAGCTCATCCTTTCCTCTACCCGTGCGCTGCCTTGGGTGTTGCCATCGGCTCCCTCATTCATTGTCTTCCCCTGTTTCAAGGTGTGTAGAAGAAGAGGACGTGTTGAAAAGGAGAAATCCTTGAGTTTTGACTTTTGAGAACTTGATAGATCAGTGAACGGCGTCTCTAAAATATATATATATATATATATATATATATTATAGAGTTACTTTAGTAACAATTTTGTTAAGTATGAGATATCATTTTGATTAAACAATTTATTTTGGTAACTCTGGTTTCTCAATAAATGCAAACAATTTACTTTCCTTAAATTTTAATTAAACATATTTACATGTAATGTACATATTTGATGTTATAATTTAATCTTGATATTAAACACTATATTTGGAAATTTTTGCATTCCATTACATTCTATGAAAGTTATTGGAATTAGGCTTTCGAATAAATGTTTGCAAGTATGTATTTTGTTAATATTGATTGACCTCACAATTAGAGAATGATTAGTTATTATGATTCATGGATAGGAAAACATTGAAGATACTATTTTATGATAATTATATTGAAAAGAGCAAAAATGTTGATTTTAGACCCATGCGTGCTTGCTAAAAATGTGAAATTAAATGAAAACATTAGTTGCTAATGGCAGTATTGTTAGCCCTTGACATACCATGATACACCTAGTTAGCAAGGTGTTTAGGAATGCTAGTCTCATACGATGGCCAATACATGTGGAATAGAGGGATGGGAATTTGTGAGCCTAGAATTCACACTTGATTTCATGGGCCTTGTGCCTATGCTTGATTTCATGGGCATTGTGCTCACACTTGTTTTCATGGTTTCGAGCCATGCTTATTGGTTACTTATCCTTATAAATTATGTATCCACACTTGTTGGTTATTTATGCTTGTGGACTTTGTGTCCACACTTGTTAATAGTCTTACAAATTATGAAATTTTGGAACTTATTGTCTTTTAAATTGTTTTGTTAAGCAAGCTGATTGCTTGACTGTGCATAGGTTTCTCTTTGTAAGATGAATTATATAATTTAGTTGTTTAAGGCAAAGGTCTTAACTTGGAAATTGAACCTGGTGTC